TCTCTCTCTCTCTCGCGCGCGCGCGCGCGTATCTAGATGGAAGTGGAAGACCTAGTTGTGGAGGGTGGAGGAGATCCGGAGGAGAGAAGAAGAAGAAGAAGAAGAAGAGTCCTCCCTCTCTCTCTCTCTCTCCGCTCTGGTACCAAATACTGACCGTGTAAAGGTACTGGAGTGCTGAAGATGAAGCTGGAGCTATGGTGGCCCAGTGTCTAGCCTCCGCCTCTCTCCTGCTGCAGTCTCCACTACAGCCTCCTCACTGGCCTCCGCCTCTCTCCTGCTGCAGTCTCCACTATAGCCTCCACACTCGCTACCTCCGACCTACCGCTACTGCGCCCAGTGCTGAAGACTACCACAACATAAAGTTGAGCACTAACTCACACTAACCTACCAAGTGAAAGGCAGACCAGTTTATAAATACGACTGGTCTGGCCTCTCCTAGGTCCTACTGGCCTAAACGTGAGGCCCAGAATGAATGGCCCGGGAAACAATCTGGCTGTACACTTGGATCGAATCTGACGGTCCAAGTGTGGCCTGGGAAAAAAAAGGAGGCGAGGGCCTGAACCGTTACTGGTAACAAGGCCTGGCCAGGCCGAACCTAGTGTGGGCCTAAAACGACCCTTTTTCTGGCCTGAACCGACACAGACCCTACTTCGGGCCACAAAACTAATGTGGCAGACCGAAACTAAGTCCCTACCCTTTCCTACCTACCTGACGGGTCCTACTGGGCCCGTGTGGCATCCACATATGCCACACCCCCCCCTCCTTGAAAGATCGAGTCTACCGACGAGGGCGGAGCTGTCAATCTGAGGAAGGGACTGTAGTCCTGGTGGGACGGTTAGGTTGCTGATGTGAAGCTTTCGTAGCCAATCGCTCGTACTCGGCGTGGATGTCTGGTGCAGCAGTCTTCAAAGCATCCTGGGAAATCCACCTTGTGTCGTCGCGGTCACATTGTCGGAATCTGACTTTGTACTGCGTCGGCTTGTCGCCGTAGTGGCGGTGTGCGATGACTCGCTCAACCTCTTGGTGGCCGTCCATTGAAGGATGGTCCTGCGGTCGTCGATCTGGAAGATCGTCGCTCTTGGCCGGCGTATAGGTAGCTAGCTTCGAACCATGAAAAACGAGATGGACCGGCAGATGAGGCGGAATGTCAATCACGAAGATGGGTCGTCGGTTTGATCGCCAGCTGCGGACTGAACGAGCCAAGGCCCAAACCATGTAGGGAGGAGCTGGCGAGAGACATCACGTTCCAGCGCAAACTCCTCGGAGGAGACCCAAACCAGGTCGCCTTCACGGATGGGACAAGGCACGAGACACCGGTTCACTTGCTGCTGCATGCAGACCTGAGCCTTTTGCATGCTTGCGCGGGCTTTGGCCAGCAACTCTTGCATCTCCCAAATGGAGGCGGGTGTGCAAGGGGCGCCGATGTCGACGGCCTGCGGAAGAAATAGGTCAGCGAAGATCCGTCCTCTCCGGCCTCCATGGTGAAGCTCAAATGGGGTAGCGTTGATCGTTGGATGCAACGAAGTGTTGTAGGCGAACTCGATGTTGGGAAGACGGTCAACCCAGTTGTGCGGAGCATCATTTGGGCTGCTTGATGTGCCCTCTCCGTTTGTGGATGCCGAGCGGAACTTGGTTTCATGGTGGTGCCAGACTCTTTCATGAGAGCAGTCCAAAAGGCCGACATGAACCAAGTGTCACGGTCACTAACAATGTCCTCCGGGAGGCCGTGGCTGCAAATCCAGCCAACGTGCAAGATCCGTGCAAGCTCGGGAGCAGTTGCATGGTACTTGCATGGGAGGAATCGAGTGTACTTTCGCAACCGGTCAACGATTGTGAGAATGTCGTTGTGACCGAAGCGGTCCCGCGTGAAAGGGACTTGTGACGCCCATAACAATGGAGATGCCTGGTTCACACGAGATGGGTAATGGTCGTAACTCGTCGAACGGCTTGCAATTGCAGGGTTTGTTTTGTTGACAAACTTCGCATGATTTGCAGAACTTGAGGACGCCGGTCTCCAAGCTGGACCATTGGGAACTTGGACCGCAATCGAGCGATCGTGTGGTTTGCTCCAAGGTGACCGGCGAGGCGCGAGTCATGGTACTCGCCGAGAATGTGAGTCTTAAGCCCACGGTCTTGAGGCATGCATAGTTGGTCCTTTCCACGAGTGTGAAGGATCAAGTAGCCATCGGCAATACGATAGTGGCTTGTCGGTGGATTCTCCGAAGAGAGTTGCTCGTAGAGTGGCGCATACTTGGGGTCGGACTTGTAGCCTCGGATGAAGTGTCGTTGGAGGTCTTCGTCAAATGCAGGTTGTGTCATTGCGCAAAGATCGGGTCTTCGCAAGAGTCCATCGGCTGCGCAATTGGAGAGGCTGGCAAGGTGTTTCGGTGTGAAGTCAAACTGGTCGATGAAGTGCATCCATCGTCCAATAGTGCTGCTCACTATGTCTTGTGTCTTATAATAAGTCAACGGGTTGTTGTCAGTAACCCATGTGAACCTACGACGCCCAAGGAGGAAGTGTCGTCATCGCTTGAGAGCCATCATGAACGCGAGCAACTCTTTCTTCCTTGCATCATCAAGTGTGTTGATGGGGGGCACTTCGTCATCGAATTCGAATGGCACCTTTGGCGATTGTAACCGCGTCAATGGTGCAGTGATCCTTGAGTAGCTGGTAATGAAGCGTTGGTAGTAGCCAGCCAAGCCCATGAACGAGCGAACATCCGTTGTGTTGATGGGCTCGGGCCGTACCCGGATGGCCTCAATCTTGTCTGCGGGCGAACGGATGCCTTGCGACGTCACAAAATGGCCCAAGTACTTGAACTCTTACCACGCGAATTCACACTTGTCGCGGTTGGCCTTGTACTTGTCGTAGCTGCTCCAAAACAGTTCGAAGGTGATCCACATGCTCGTCCAAACTGCTACTGTACACCAAGATGTCGTTGAGGTAGATGAGCACGAAGCGGCCCAGCATGTTGCGGAACTCCATTGTCATAGCCGCTTGGAACGTGGCCGGGGCATTCATAAGGCCAAAAGGCATAACCAGCCATTCGAAATGCCGATACCGTGTCTTAAATGCGGTCTTGTAACGATCTTCACGTCGGATCTCGATTTGGTGATACCTCGATTTGAGGTCTAGCTTGGAGAAAAAATTTGGCACTGCACCGTTTGAGGAGGTCGTCAATTCACGGGAGAGGGACGGCGCTCTTGACGGTTTGCGCGTTGAGCTTGCGATAGTCAATGCACAACCGCAAGTCCTTGTTCTTTTTTCAGATGAAGAGAACGGGAGCACCGTAAGGCAAAGACCTACGCCGAATCCATCCTTTCTCGAGAAGATCGTCGAGTTGTGCCGCACACTTAATTCCTCCTCGCTCATGCGGTAGATGCAACCACATGGAGGTAGGGCCCCGGGCTCCAGAATAATCTTGTGTCGAATGGGCCGGTCCGGTACAACTCCGTGCGGGGCTTCGAACACGTCGTCGTAGGCGTCGAGAAGCTCCATGATGCGGGGATCTGTCGATGCATTTGTTATTGAAGAGTCTTGTGGAGGGAGGGCATAGAGAAAACACATACCCATCTCCTCGACGTCATTCCGTGAGATGGATGCTCGAATGCTCGCAGCAGACACCACGTGGCAGCTAATCGAAGGGTGAGGTGGTGGGACAGTGCATGTAACCAATTCGCCGGAGTGGTCACGAACGTGCACTGCACGACGATAGAAGTTTAGTGGATGGTCCTCACTTCACAGCCATGACATGCCCAAAATCATGTCAAACTTGGTGTCCAAAATGTCGGTGAACACCGCCTCGCGTGTGTGCGGGGTGAAGTAAATCGGGACCACGTCAACACACCGGTCAATGCTCTTATGTGTGTGACCGTCGGCCAAATTTACTTCCGTAGGCTGCGACTTCCTTTGAACGCGTGGTCCAAGACCGGCGCGTACCATGAAGTCTTGGCTCATGTAGTTGCGAGTAGCGCCACAGTTGATCAAAGCGGTGCAGGTCGCTTTTCCGATTTGAATACGGATGTACAGCACTGGCGTGTCGTTGTCGGCGTACCGTTGTGTCTCGAACTCGCGGTCAATCTTCGCGAGATACTCTCGAAGGTCGACAACCTTTACTCCGATGTCCATACTCTCGCTGGTACTGCAGTGTGCAAGTATTCTCGTAATTGTGCCATTAGCGCGTTGCAATGTGGTTTTGGCAATTGACCGGTCGGGGGAAGGGGCATCCATTGGAAGTCCGCGATCGTCAACGGGCGAGTTCCTCAAGTCTTGACCATGATGTCGAGTCCCCAGTGAGAGTTGTCAACGAAGCTGTCGAATCGGTTGCGGATGGTGATGAAACCGTGCATGCGGTGGAGTCTTGCACGTGGAGTGGCTGGTCCAACGATGGTACTAAGTGGACAGCGTAATCTTCAAAGGTTGGCCGAAGACTTGCGACATCCGCCTGCTCCCCGGATGTGTAGGAGGCCGTTAGCAAGGCGGTCGTATCCGGTGGAGAGGGAAGGGCGTCGCCTGACTTCCAGTGGTACTCAGTTTCCCGAGTTGTTGCAAGAACAAACATCGTCCTTGCCTTGATCTTGGCATTGAGAGGTCTTGTGTTTGGTGTTGTTGCACCAATAGCAACAACACGGCTGCGCTCCTTATATTCGTTCTCGGTCAAGTTGAACTTCACCCATGGTGCAGGCTGTCCATTTCCGGCCGAGGATGCGGTTTGCGGTTTTCGCCTTCCCTTTATTCCGGGTCTTGTTGGTGGTTCACGGCTGGACGGCGGCCACCTGCTCTCCTTCACTTGATGCTGGGGTGGCTGCCGAGTCTTCCACAACGTTGTCCGTGCGGACGGCAGCGACATGTTGCGGTCGTGGACCAGGTTTCCCTTTCTCCAAATAGGAGGGCTGCAACCGCGTTTTCTCGTGTGCGGCCGCCCGGTTGGTCTTGATAATCTCACGAGCCTTGTCGATGATTTCAGCAAAGGCCTTGTATGCTTCACGATCACCGAGGGCTTGGCTCAAGGCGGCACACGATCAGTTGTAGTACTCCAGGCGCAAGTGAGGAAACGAGAAGTCAAGATCGGTTGTCGCCACGATCTTTTGCCATTCCGTTAACCAGTCTTGAGTAGGTGTGTTGCCTTGAGACATGCCGAAGATGCGGTTGATGGCGAGTGCTGGAACATCATCGACGATGAACCGCTTCTTCCACTCCTTCATCAAGACCTCCCAAGAAATCTTGGTGTGCATATCGGCGACCACGACGCCATGTATGGTTGCCATGTGGTTTAACCAGATCTGGCATCCTCCCTTTGCCTTGAGGTATAGTGCCGACACGTAGAGATATTCGGGTACTCGATGTATCCGAAGCTCCATTGTGAATGACTGACACGTGTAGATGTTTGGGTTCACGGGGTCTTGATGAGTATAATCATCAAACTTTTTGATCCGTGAAGTCGGCATCTTGTACTCCCTTTTGCTGTTTCCATCGCTGGGCAGTTGCAGTTGCCAAACCTCGGCTTGCAGCGCGGTGAGTTGCTGACTGACGGTCACGGGTGCCGCGAACTTGTTGATGTCGCCCAAGAGGGTGACCACATGATCAAGGCGTTCCTCGAACTGGCGGGATGACGCTGCAGGCTGGCTGGTACTAGCCTGGCCTGCTTCCGGTCTTGGTTTCTCCAAGTCTTGGATACGGGCGTTCAGCACCCGTGTAGGGTCCTCGTGCAGAGCCTTGTGGTTCTGCACCGCCTGTCGAATGTTCTCCAACTCGAGCTGCTGCTGATTACGCTGCACGATTTTGGAGAGAAACTCCTTGTGCTCTTCCTCGGCCGTCGCGACCTCATGTTCATCGGAGGGCTCAAAGTGCCAGAACTTGAGCCGTTCGATGGTGGCTGTTTCCTGCCGCTGCAGCAAGCTGTGTGCTTCCTTGCGGCGCTCCTGGGATTCCCGATTGGTTGCAGCCTGCAGCCGTGCTTGTTCAGCTGCTGCTTCAGCGGCAGCCTGTAGCCGGGCAGCTTCGGCCTCCACCTGGCGCTGTTCCTCCAATTCAATCTGTGCGAGCTGATCCTAAATCTGCTTGCGGAAGTCTGAGATGGATTCACTGGCGAGCTGGCCTGCCATGCCCAGTGGAGCAGTCATGCTGACGTGTCACCTTGCGGATGTGTCACTCTGTTGCTGACGTGTCACCTCTGCTGCTATGGCACTTACCAAGCCGTGGGAGAACAAGGGAGGGACGGAGGGCTCAGACACACACAACCATGCAAGACCCCCAATCCCTGCGGTAAAGGCCTAATCAAGCAAAAAATGCCCCCCCTGTGCAGATTTCACAAATAAAATAATGGGAATACTTTTATTTGTTTGGGAAATGGCAGAACGGGGTGGTCGGCCCTGACCTAGGAGCAGTCTGATTGGCAGACCAGACTGTCCTGCAGGTAAGTGCAGAAAGAAAAAAGGAAAATGTTTCAGATTGGTTGCAATATAAAATTCGTTATTTTAAGGAGGTGAAAAATTCCCTTCCCCAGTTTCGGATTTTGAGTACTTCTGGGATTGTAGAAATTTATAGTAAAAAGATTTCACAAATAGAATAATGGGAATACTTTTATTTGTCTGGGAAATGGCAGAACGGGGTGGTCGGCCCTGACCTAGGAGCAGTCTGATGAGCAGAACAGACTGTCCTGCAGGTAAGTGCAGAAAGAAAAAAGGAAAATATTTCAGATTGGTTGCAATATAAAAATTCGTTATTTTAAGGAGGTGAAAAATTCCCTTCCCCAGTTTCGGATTTTGAGTACTTCTGGGATTGTAGAAATTTATAGTAAAAAAAAATCCCCCCCCCCTGCCCTGTATTTCGAATTTCCTGAGTTCAGCAAATGTTGAAGTGCAGTTCTACTGCAGGCAAGTAGAATGTAGTGGTGGATAAAAATCACATTTTTAGTGTTAATTAGAGCAAAACAGCAGTAATTCCTTAATTAGTACTAATACACTAACCCTAATTTTGCTAATTACTTCGATCCCCTCGATTCCAAATTCGCGGAATTTCCAGATTTTGCGGAACGTGGGAATCTGCAGATTTTCGTAATTCACGGAATTTCCGAAATGCGCGGAATTTGCGGATTATCAAAATTTGCGGAATTTCCAAAAACTATCAATTAGCAAAGTGATGTATCCATTTATTAATCAGGTAATCAATAAGCACTCGATCAATCAATCAATCAATGCCTGTTCGATTGATGATTGATCAAATCAATCTTGATTACTTCTCGCCTGAGGTCCAAAGGGACGACTTGCTGAGCAGACTTTCTCTCGTTGAGATCGCTCCAATACCAAACTGTCGCATACACATCCAAACATGGCAAGTATAGCGCAGATCCAAGGAGTCGACTCAAAGCAAGAGACTATATAAACGCAGCGGAAAACTGAACATACATCTGACACAGCAATATCAGAGTGGACAATGCACACTCATACATGCATCACACTGTGAGAAAGGGGCAGCGCAGCATACAAGCAAGGGGCGCTGTCCCCTGATCATCCTCGAACGAAGTAGGAGGGAGAGGGAGACGAAGGGTGAAGAGAGGGGCGAGAGACCAAGTCGCCAATGTCGCCAATCCCGAATGTTGCCGAAGTCCCAGTCTCAATACCAAAAGCAGGTCTTTTCCTGAAATACCAGAGCATGGCCATGGCCCGAGTGTCCCCAAGTTCAGATTCAGATAACTCTCTCTCTCTCTCTCTCTCTCTCTCTCTCTCTCTCTCTCTCTCTCTCTCTCTCTCTCTCTCTCTCTCTCTTATCCAGACGGAAGAGGAAGACTGAGCAGTGGAGGATGGAGGAGGTCCGGAGCATAGAAGAAGAAGAAGAAGAAGAAGAAGAAGAGTCCTCCCTCTCTCTCTCTCTCTCTCTATGCTGGTGCCAGATACTGACCGAGTAAAGGTATTGCCTTGACGTCGGTGCTGGAGTGCTGAAGACGAAGCTGGAGCTATGGCGCCCCTGGTGAGTCATCAGGTAAGTCCCAGTGTCTGGCCTTCGCCTCTCTCCTGCTGCAGTCTCCACTACAGCCTCCACGCTCGCTACCTCCGACCTACCACTACAGCACCCAGCGCTGAAGACTACCGCAGCATAACACTGAGTACTAACGCACACTAACCTATCAAGTGAGAGGCAGACCAGTCTATAAATATGACTGGTCTGGCCTCTCCTAGGTCCTACTGGCCTAAACGTGAGGCCCAAAATGAATGGCCTGGGAAACAATCTGGTCGTACACTTGGATCGAATCTGACCGTCCAAGTGTGGCCTGGGGAAAAAAAGGAGGCCAGGGCTTGAACCGTTACCGGTACCAGGGCCTGGCCAGGCTGAACCTGGTGTGGGCCTAAAACGTCCCTTTTTCTGGCCTGAACCCACACGGGCCCTACTCTGGGCCACAAAACTAATGTGGCAGACCGAAGCTAAGTCCCTACCCCTCTCTACCTACCTGACGGGTCCTACTGGGCCCGTGTGGGATCTACATATGCCACACCCACGCACCTGTCCCCATCACGTTTGGAAGAACCGCCACAACATTGATTGCCTCCTCCCGGAGGGATTGTGTTGCATACTGTAACGTGCAGACCAGAACAAGAACCGAACTTTCAATACAAAGTATAAGATAGCACAACGGAAGACTTAGATACCAGTGATCCCAACAATCAATGTTGCAATGCAGCCCTGAACATACATCATCATCCTCGTTACATGGTGTGAATGGGGTCTGGCGCTTCACACAGGAAGACTGCGCCGGCCCATACCATACACAGACGAAGAGGAAGGGGATAAACGAAGAGGAGGGGGAAGATGGGAATGTCGTCAACACCAAGTCTTCGGCACAAGCCCAAATAGTCCCTCGTCGAAMTGTCTGAATCCCAAATATCAAGTCTGGATCCAATGTCGTCAAGTCTCAAGTCACAACTCTGTCTCTCTCTGTCGTAGTCTGAGAAGTCAAGTGGCGAGAGGGTGAGAAGAGATGGTGGACTTTGAAGAGGAAGAAGAAGAACTCTCTCTCTCTGTGGGTCCAGTACTAACCTGTGAAGTTGGCGCCTTGATGCAGGTACCACGAAGCTCGAGCTGGAGCGATGGCGCCACAGGTAAGTACCACTGGCCTCCGCCAGTATCTCTCTCACTCTACGATCTACCAACTACCAGCGCCCAGCGCTGAAGACTACTCTATGGCTATGGCACCCAGCGCCGAAGACTACCGCTAGCGCTAATACTACTGCCTAGCGCTGAAGACTACTGCAGCGCTCCTCCTGAGTGCTGCGGCCGAAATCCCCAAGACTACTGGAACTACCTACCTGTGAAGAGCCGGGGAAGCTCCTATGTACAACCACGGGTGCCCCTGACTGCACGCGAGCAGTCCAGGAGGCTGCTCTTGCCAATGCCGATCGGAGGTAGGGGCTGCCGCTGCAGCTCCTGCTCAAACTCGTGAGGAACAGGCTATTCTTGGCCTGTTCCGCATCCCTGTTTAAGTGCCTGAGTCTTAGGGGCGGTTGCAACAATGAGGGCCTGAAAATGGTGCTCCGTTTCAGGCTGGAAAAACTCTGGGTCTGAAAGACCCAGAAATAGGCTGAAACGGAGAAGGGCCTGCAGGCCCTCGTTTTTCAGCTTTCAGGCTGAAACGAAAGGGGCCTGTAAGCCCTAAGTTTTAGGCTTTTAGGCTGAATGTCCAGGACGGGCCCTGTAGGGCCCGTGTGGCCAAGCAGTATGCCACACCCCCCCCCTCCTTGAAGAACCGAGCTTACCTGCGAGGGCGAAGCTGTCTGTCTGAGGGAGGGACCACAGCCTGGGTGGGAGGGGCTGGTCGTGAAGCTTCCTGAGCTAACCTCCGCCTTTCAAAATGCTCATAGATCAGCGGTGCGGATGCTTTCAAATCTGCGCCTGAAATCCACTGAGTGTTGTCACGATCACATGCTTTGAATGTGACTTTGTACTGCCGCGGCTTGCTGCTGTACTTGCGATCGGTGATGACGCGGTCAACTTCCTAATGACCATCCATAGAAGGAGGGTCCTGCGATCATCGGTTCGGAAAGTCGTCGCTCTTGGCTGGCGTGTATGTTGCCAGCTTCGAGGCGTGGAAGACCGGATGGACCGTCAGATGCTCTGGAATGTTGATCACAAATGAAGGGCCATCGGGCTCATCGCCTGCGGCTGCTGTCACAGACCAAGGTCCAAACCACTTGGGAAGCAGTTTGCGTGACACATCCTGTTCCAGTGCAAACTCTTCTGCGGAGACCCAAACCAGATCACCGGCGCGGATGGGACATGGTACGCGACGCCTGTTGGCTTGCTGCTG